TGAGGCCTCCGGGCCGGGCGTGCGGGGTTTTCCGGGGAGCGAGCAAAAGGCAGGCCCAGTGTGGGAGGGCGTCCCCAGGGAGGCGCGAGGTGTGGCGAGCAGCAGGAGCTGTGAGGAAAGCGGAGCGGCAGCGGGTGTGGGGGGGGCAGCCGCGGCAGGGTGTGGCGGCGCGCGGGGTTTTGTGTGGTGGGTGGGTGTGTGGGGTTTGTGAGGGTCCCATCTGAAGAGAGGGTGCGTGGGGTGGAGGGAGGGGGCAATGGTATATTGTGTGGGGATAGGGAGGAGGCTTAGGTGCCGTGTGGTGTATTTGATGCTCAGAAGCAAACTACTACCGGTATCAGGTCTGGTTAGTATTTGGACGGGAGACTGGCTAGAAATATTCCAGAACTTGGAATTGTCGCCTTGTTGCTCTGTTTTACACTTAGGCTGGAGACGATCTGGGTTTACCAGCTGTTGTACGTTTAATATCTGTGTTTAAAATTAATTAGTCTTTTCTTTATTTCTGTTTACTTTTGCTTTCTTTCTTGGCTGGAAAGGGAGGGCTTTAGCAATACCTGTTATGGGACTGGAAGCGAGGCCTTTGTTTGAAACGTGGTTCTGTGTGCTACTCCCGCCTTCATCTCCCAGCGATAAGTAGCCGTAGTTCCCCCTAGGCCGGAGGCGAGGGCGGGCCTATTGGAAAATCCTGGGAGGTGTCGATGGGCCCGCCCCGTGCTGTGCGTGCGGGCGGGCTGGGGCGTTGAAGTCCTGCGCTGTGTGCGCGGCGGGGAAGCTGTAAGGCCATCAGCTGACTCCGTAGAGTCATGAGACGTGTGTCAGGCGGGTGTTGCGATCATAGCGGGCGGCGTCTCCTGCAGCTCGGGCCGGCCATGCTTCGCCTTCTGCTCCGAGCGGCCGGGCTGGTAGCGCTGCTTCCCGTGGGGCTCGGCGCAGCTGTAAGTGTTTCTCCGGGGAGCGAGCGCGGAGAGCTGCCTTGCTGGGGGCTCCCGTCCCTGGCTGGGCTCATGCGGAAGTGGGGAATGGCTTGCGGCGTCCTCTTGCGTTGGGGCAGGTGGAGGGATCCCTGCGGGCCCTGAGCTCCCTTAAGGGCGTCAGTGACTGTTCAGGGATCATGTGCGGGGGGAAAGCACCAACTGGAGAGGAATTTGGGCCCCCATCCTCTCCCATTTCATTTTATTTACACACATTGCAAATATGGAGGCGGGGATGGGGGGGTGAACTGGGGCTTCGGTACAGTTGTCTTCCCTCATTCCCTTCTCAGGGCTGACTCCCAGGAGGTGGGGTGCATGAGTTGGCTGCATGGCAAGCACTCATACTGTCTGCACTGTCCTCTGAGCACAGATTCAATGTTATACCTGGTGGGCTGGGTAGAGGGTGCAAAGCGTGTGGAGCAGGGTAGTCTAGGGGCAACCACGTCTGTGTTTTCAGCTGTATTTTTCGTGGACAGGTGTGTCTGTCTCTTCCCACTTCTCAAGCTGTGCTAATGTGCCAAGGGGCTCTCTAACTCTCCAACAAGGACCTGATGCCTGAGGAGATTGCAGGAGCCTACTGCTCCTTTATTCAGCTTGGTTGGTGGACGGGACAGATGCAGGTTACTTAGGCCTTGTCTACACTGCCACTTTACAGCGCTGCAACTTTCTTGCTCAGGGGTGTGAAAAAACACCCCACTGAGCACTGCAAGTTTCAGTGCTGTAAAGTGGCAATGTAGACAGTGCACCAGTGCTGGGAGCTACTCCCCTCATGGGAGTGGCTTTTTTTTTCTTTTTTCTCAGCCCTGGGTGCCGTGACTACACAGCCATGTTAAAGTGCTGCTGCGGCAGTGGTTTAGCATTGCTAGTGAAGACACATCCTTAAATACTGTTACCTTTCTTAGTAGAATCCTGCCCACTTTCCTCCCCACTTGGTTATGGAGCTTTGATTCTGACTTTTTTTGAGGTCATGTTTACAATTTTTCTTCTTACAGCAAACAGATTTTGTACTACCTGGCTTAGTGAGACGCTTAGGGTATGTCTCACTGGCAAGTTTCTGCACAACAAGTTAGCCCATTTTTATTAAAGGGCTGGTATGAAACTGCTGTTGTGTGTCCACCCTGTGCTCCTTGTGATGGTGGAGCGCATCCACATTAGCAGCTCTTGCAACTGCAAAGAGAGCAGTGCATTGTGGTAGCTATTCCACTGTGCAACTGTCCCATGGGGTGCTTTGGGAAGGGTTTGCAATGCCTCATGGGGCAGGCACAGCGTCACATGATGCAGGTTTCCAGATCCCATTGTTCCATGGACATCTTCTGCATTGCCAGTTGCTTTTCAACTGAAGGGGGGGTGGGGGTGGGCAGAGTGTTTGATAGGGAGGGTGTGTGTGTACAGAGGTGGGGGAGAGTGTGTCAGCAGACAGCGTCAGGAAGCAACCAGTCTTGAGGCAGGGAGAAACCCCCGATATCAGCCTCCGCCTCCCTCCCCAGCTCAGGAGGGGCGCAGGTCTCCAGCGGAGTTCAAAACAATGAACAGAGCGGCCACAACGCTTCCGGAGGCCAATCGATTGCTTTGTGCGCTGTAATGTGTTTACATTGCTAATACAGCGCTGGAGCCTCTGAGCTTTAAGGCTTACAATTCTCGTCAAGGTGGGTTTTTTTGCAGCGCTGCAACTGAGGACTTTCTGCATGCAAAGTGGCGTGTTTACACCTCGGGAGTTACACTGCAGAAAGCTGCTTCGCTTCGTAGTAACTTGCCAGTGTAGACAAGGCCTTAGTTTTGCTCTTTGCTTTCTGAACTCTCATCCACAATAGCGAGAAAATCCAGGATATCCTGAAAGCCATGAATTGTCATTAAAAAAGCCCCCTGCCTCTTGATAGGCCTATTTTTAGCCTTTATTATTCAGAATCTATCTTGACAAGTTATACATTAGATGACTTTAGGTCTTTAATTGTCTTGGTTGAATTTGTTTTTCTGCTGTTCTGCACTTGTCAGGGCTCTGGCACCATCAGACAACGCATCAGGTAGAAAACATTAATTTACTAGTGTGGGTTGAGAACAGGGAAGTGTATCTGTCTTTTCTCTGCCATTTTTAATGTGCTTTATCATGCTACTTGCTCTTTCTATATAGATTTGCATCAGATTGCATCCAGTGTTACAGTCTTGCTAAAGGCCTATATGAGTTGCAATATTTAGGCTTAAGGCCTGAGTGAAGAGTACTGTGGGAGTTCTAATGCAGCATTTCCTCTAGGTTTGTGCATTTGAAGTAAACCCTTAGCATTATTTTAATACTCATCTGTTTTAATGTTGTATACATATTCTAAAGAATGTTAACACACAGTGAAAAGCAGAGTAACTCCATGGAGTGTTTTGGTTTAAACTGACAGTAGCTCGTAACACAGTACCTGGTCTTTTTAATTATTTTGAAAAAGCAAACAGGTTTAAATTTTAAATCAGTATCGTGGCCTCTTGGCTTAAAAATAAAAGGTGGGTGGGGGAAGAGACAGAATGATGTCAGAATGCATATAAAAGGGGTTTATTGAGGCTGCAGGGTATAGACAAGGATGGTCTAGCTCAGGGGTTCTCAAACTGGGGGTTGGGACCCTTCAGGGGGTTGCGAGGTTATTACAGGAGGGGTCATGAGCTGTCAGCCTCCACCCCAAACCCCACTTTGCCTCCAGCATTTATAATTCAGAGGCTTGCTATGTGAAAGGGGTCGCCAGTACAAAAGTTTGAGAACCACTGGTCTAGGCCTCAATGGTTCTTTAGCTCCCAGACCAAAACTCAGATTGAGAGTCTCCATAAATCCTGGCCTAGAATATGCAGGTGTGGAAGGGACTGAAGATATATATAATATTCCTTTAAACTAGCTTTCAAAATTCTGCTTACCATAATGAGTAAACTATCATCTTGAGAAGTGCAGGCCTGTATATTTTTCGGCCTGGGCTGGCAAATGTTCACAACAACTTTACCAGGCTGCCTTAAAGGGATTTTTGTGCATGTGCATGTCTCATTTTTTCCCCCCTATGGTTCCTCTGAAGAGCAGAAATAAGGGGTGAGATGTGGAAGTGGTTTGCATGCTTTATGTTTGTTCTCCAGTGATCCTGAATGGATGAAGGCTGGAATTGAATAATTGATGGCTATGTCATTATTCTGAGGTGAATGTAGACACCATCATAGGTCAATGATTTTTTTGTTGGGTTCTTGAGACTGCAAGCTTATGTACCAGGGACACCTACTATCATGTAATGGTGTAGTGTTGGAATGGAAATGGTGTTGTACGAGGGAAGCAGATTAGGTAGTGAGTGCAAAGTGTTAACTATAGCTGTGTTTCTTCGACGGAGTAAGCAGGGTCTGGTAATATTTTATTAGTTATTGGAAGGTAATCATCACTATATGATTTGTGAGACAATATCCCAAAATTGTGAGAAGAATTCTTATTACTAGTTTAGCATTCACAGGTTTTTGTGATAACTTATCGATGGGAGACTATAGAGATCAGGACTGGGTTGTCAGAGTTCTAGATAATTTTTATTCTAAATTAATAAACCTTCTATAGCTATCCTTGACAGTGATAGTAGTCTCTCCACCGACCTTGGTGTCCTGGGCGGTGGGTGCCAAATAATACCTCTCTCTGTTTCCTAGACTGGGCAGGGGGGATTGTATGTCTTAATATCAAAAAGCTGATGCTGGTTCCTGGTTGCAGGCCAAGTTGACCAAGAAGTCCCTTCACAACCACATTCTAACCTACTGGAAACTCATATAAAACAGGAAGGTGCAGGGACTGTCAGTCGGTAGAGATGATTTCCTTCAAGCAATTGCCGCTTGAAGCAAAGGCTGCAGGGGCTGCTGGAGTTGTCTTCTTCTCCATGATGATATCCCGGACCTTCCTGGCAGAGCAACTTGAGTTTGGCACACAGAGGTGGCTGCGGAGATTACAGATGGCATTGTTTGTTAATGCGCTGATGCTCATAGGTTCTCTTTACATCTGGAGATGTATAGTGACCACATTCTACAGGCTTTCAGCTGCTAACTCCTATTGTTTCATGCCATGGAAAATAGCTGTGCTAATGTTTCTAGGTTTGGCACACTCTAGCTTTTTTACATTGCTGTTTCTTGTTGCAGAAGAGCCCTATTTCTTTTCCTTAGCTTCTTACACATGTCTAGGAGCCTATATAATCCTTATTTTCTTTCTCTTCACTCTGGGCTCTGTAGAGCAAGTTTATAAACTCTTGGTCAGCAGAGGTGCTAAGACAAGTGGTATCAATAAGAGTAGTAAAGCTGTCATGAAACCTGTTTTGGCTGTTATGGTGACAGTTGCACTGACTGCTGTTGGGTTGTTGAATGCTTCCCAGCCTCCTGCTGTGACCTCAGTGGTGATTCCTCTTCACAAACTGCCTTCGTCCATGGACGGCCTGAAGGTGGTGTTGCTATCAGATATTCATCTGGGACCCACTGTAGGGAAGACTAAACTTGCAATGGTTGTGCAGATGGTCAAAGCTTTAAAACCCGATATCACTGTGATTGTAGGTGATCTGTCAGATTCTGAAGTGATGGCCATCCGACCTGCTGTCGAACCTCTTAGTGAGCTTAATTCCCCATTGGGAAATTTTTTTGTCACTGGAAACCATGAGTATTATACTTCTGATGTCAACAGCTGGTTTGAATTACTGAAGTCATTTAACATTCATCCACTCCACAATGAGAATGTGAAGATCTCTTCTCCAAGGAGCAGCAATGATTGGTTCTGTCTGGCTGGGGTTGATGATATTGAGGCTCAGGTGTTGCACTATTCTGGGCATGGCATGGATTTAAAAAAAGCCCTAGTTGACTGCAGTACTGATCATGCAATAGTACTTCTGGCTCATCAACCACTGGCTGCAAAATGGGCTCTCCAAGATCGGCCAGACATAAATTTGATCCTTTCTGGCCACACTCATGGTGGGCAAATATTCCCTCTGAATGCTGGTGCCTATTTGCTGAATCCCTTCTTTGTTGGCTTGTATAAAGTTGGACAGAGCACTTTCGTATATGTCAGCCCGGGGACTATGTATTATGGAATTCCAATGAGGCTGGGCAGCAGAGCTGAAATAACGGAGATCATCCTGCGCTCTCCCTGAATGGTCTGCCAACTTACAAATTCTGTCTCCTCTATCAGCCAGTAGAACTGACGGTTTGAGTCACAAGTCCCCAAGCCAAGTCCGTCCCTGATGTAACTCCGGGGAAGTCACTGAAGTTAGAAGTGATGGACTTGGTTCTGTAAGTCTGATTCTGCTCTTTGTGCAGAAAGCACTACTTCTTCTGCCACATAGTAAGCTTATCAAACACCTATCGCAGATGAGTGGAAGTGATTGAACTCATCTGATTGATTTATTATTTGTGCTATTGATATGTTGCATTTTAAAGATATCACCATGAGATCAGTGTTTGGTTTTAAGTGTGCTTACTGTGTATGTTTAATATCTGTAATCAGTCATTAATTCACAGTCCATTTTTCACTTGTTTGTTGGCATCTGATGGAGTGCCACCTAACTCATGATGATGTAAAGTTCACCTACTGAGAAGTGTGGTGAAACAGTGGATGCAAATTTTGTAGAGTACTCTAGAAAGTCTTCATTGAGGTCTATCGAGTCCTCCTCCTATGGGAAATGAATGGGGTATTTGCAGGTGATAGCAAGGATTCTGTTTACATTTTTTATGGGGGGGCCTGTATCTCATTTGGGGCCTGTAGGTGCTTCTGCAAAATGACCAGTAAAGTAAGGTGCCCATGCTAGGGTTGCCAATTTTGGTTGGACGTATTCCTGGAGGCTTCATCACATGACATAATCTTTAATTAAAGATTCATTTTTAATTCCTGGAGACTCCAGGACAATCCTGGAGGGTTGGCAACCTTAGGCCCTATGCATCTGCTCCTTTAAAATCTACATAAAAACCTAAATCATAAGAATTGGAGAGACTTTTATAGTGGGGAAGGGTGGAAATAGCTTCCTTGTTTTGCCTAAATGTAACCAGTCATCCAGTGAGTATCTAATAAAGGTATTATAAAGGGACATTGTTAACTTAAAACTCCCACTTCGGTGTGAGTGTTCAGTACTTTACTGTTGGTATGAGCAACACTTACACTATGTTTACGCTAGCCCTTTTGTCGGTAAAACTTTTGTCAGCCAGGGGTGTAGAAAAAAATACCCCCAACCAACATAAGTTTCACTGACAGAAGCGCCGGTGTGGACAGCTCTATGTCGGTGGGAGATGCTCTTCTGCTGACGTAGCTACCGCTGCTTGTTAGGGGTGGTTTAATTAAGATGATGGGAGAGCTCTCTCCCGTCGACATAGAGCGGCTACATGGGAGACCTTACAGTGGCACAGCTTACAGTGCACAGCTGTACTGCTGCAGGTCTCTAGTGTAGAGTTAGCCTTAAAATCTACAATTGAAAGAATTGGAGTGGGAAAACATTTTTTCTCAGTTGTATTATTTGGGTAGGTTTAGTTAGCTTCTTTCCATTGTATATAGTTAGTTTCTCCTTTTTTGTTTTGTGTAGGTATTTTTTACCCAGCAACTGGGGAGAGAGAACTTAAAAACAAAGTAGCTGTGACTCAAAAGAAAAGGTACTTAGATTGTAAATTAATATTTTCCCTTGACCAGAACTAGATTAGATAGCAAGTACAGTAGAACCTCCGAGTTATGAAAACCTCGGGAATGGAGGTTGTTCAAACTCTGAAATGTTCCTAACTCTGAACAAAACGTTATGGTTGTTCTTTCAAAAATTTACAACTGAACATTGACTTAATACAACTTTTAATACTATGCAGAAGAAAAATGCTGTTTTTAACATGTGTTAAATGAAACAAGCACAGAAACCGTTTCCTTACCTTGTCAAATCTTTTTTTTAAACTTTCCCTTTATTTTTATTTTTTTAGTAGTTTACATTTAACACAGTACATATGGTAGTTGCTTTTTATTTTTATGTTTTGTCTCTGCTGCTGCCTGCTTGTGTAGTTCCGGTTCCAAAATGAGGTGTGTGGTTGACTGGTCAGTTCATAACTTTGGTGTTCATAACTGAGGTTCTACTGTAACTTCTGTTTGTGTATAGACTTTCTAGTGCCCTGACCTCTAATTGTTCTGCTTTGAAAAAAGATGGCCTTCTTTTTGTGCATCTCTTTAAAGAGCACTATCTAGCGTTTGAATCCGTACTTCAGTCTGGTATGTTTCTTAATGCAATTTAATATAGCTAAATTAATAATTTGGGTTTTTAATATAAATTAAATCAGATTGTTTTTGGTTCTCCCACATTGTTCTAGGGCATGAGAATCAAAAATTGAAGTGGAATTAATTTGTACTTGCTGTCCAAGCTGACTGAAGTGCAAAAATAAATAAGACTCTTTTTTCACTCTTTCCCCAGGTGTACTAATCTGAGATGCTATTAGTAATTATGGCTATGGGATTTTTAATTTTTTTAATCTGGCAGTGTCCCTTTAACTCTTTAACCTGAGACAGGATTCTCTCTCCTCATATAAACACTGTCTAGCTGTTTCTCTACTCTGTTCCCACCCACCAAAACTGTGCACCCTCTTGTTCTTGACAATTGGCTCTGGGCAAATCAACATCTTTATTAAATCTTCCTGTGCCTCTAACTCAGATGGCCCCCGTTATTGGGGTATCTGAAACACCTCACAATCTTCCTCACATCAACCCTGTGAGAGTAGAGACATTCTAGCAGATGAGGAACAGAGACAGAGGAAACTTGTGGCAGAGATGGGGAACTGAATCCAAGTCCCAAGCTAACCCCCTAACCACTGGACCACTTCTCCCCAGTTTCCCAATGTCTAAAACAGTGATAATACCCTGCACTTTCACAAAATGTTTTGTATTTATGGAGCACCTTTCATTTGAGGATCCCAAAACATAACTTGACCCCCATACATTTCATACACTTTGTGTGTGTGTATGCCTTATGTTTCTCTGACTGCTCTTTCCCTGGTTGACTTAGTATTGCTGCTACCTGACCAGCATGAGTTGTGTAGATAGCCCCCAGTGATGTGTCAGTGAAAGACCTGAGTTAAAATCCATGTCTCCCACTTGGTAGTGCAAAGCATTCTCTCTTGGCCACATCTTTTCTAATCATTAAATTATTTGAGGATTATTGCTATGTTATGCAGCTAATTGTCTAGCTAATTACCTTCCATGGGAGGTGGGCACTGTGGTTTGCTTCAGTGTCTGCTTCTCAGTGAGCACGGAAATGTCAGTTTCTCTATTCCTCTCTTGCCCTTTCCAAGAAAACACAAATGTGCACAAAAATCAGTATGGAGAATTGACTCCTACCACAAATAAGCAGGTGATTTTTAAATTGTTCTGTGAATATTTTGACCATTTTTTCATCTATTTTTGTTGTCTTTAATTGTGACTCTTTCTTTGGGGTTTAATTAAATATTTTTGTTGTTCTTGATTTCTATTCTACTAGAATGCAAAATTATTGAAAAGGCTACTCGGAGTGCCATTGCAGCCATACCCAAATCCTATGATCACTTTTTGTGAAAATAAACCATATACATTGGAGAATCAATATGCATATTTATAAATCATAGTACTGATATAATGAATGCATTGAACACTAAGATTGTTACTGTTCCAAGCAATTAATAAAAAGTTAATATTGTTCACAGGTGGAGACAAGTGTCTTTTGTAATGATCATTCAATTTGATTTTTTTTATATTCCTGAGTGCAAGTGAAAAGGAAATTTCAGTGTATTAAACCTGTGTTTAATACATCCAGGCTGGGAACAGTGAGTCCATTGTTATCAGGTTGGGGGGATGAGTCATATAATGTGATTGCAGGGATGGAGATGAGGAATATTAAAGATGAAGGGGAGGGAGAGCAGAATGTATGAGTGGTTCTTAGTTGGGTTTTATATTTGAGTGGTGGTGGTGGTGGTGACAGGCTGAGGGGGAGTCTGTCTGTTGTTAAGGAGGGGATCTAACGTGTTGTGCCTGTAGTTGGATCATATGTTGTATGATGGTCATAAAAAAGATGGCTGCATCCTCTTACCACACCTCCGAGAGTTAAACAGAACAGTAGGAGAGGCAGATAAACATGGACATGTTTATTCATATGGTAGGGGCCATATCCTGCAGGAAAAATTCCATGGACTTAAATGGGAGCTATGCCTATGTAAAGACTATAGGATCAGTACCTAAGTCAGGCCTGCACAACTCGTAAAGCAGCGAGGGCCATATTACTCCAAAGAAAACAGCTGAGGGCCGAACCCCTCCCCAGCGCCGCCAAACCCCTCCCCAGCGCCACCCAACACCCCCCCGTGCCACCCAGCCCCCTGAAACAACCCCCCAATGCTGCCCACCTCCCCCAAAACAACCCCCCCCCCCAGCGCCGCCCGCCCCGCAGAAACAAACCCTCCTTCCCTAGCGCTGCCTCATCGAAACAGCGTTATTGAACCTTGGTAATATGTTATAGCGGGCCCCTAAGGTAGTATAATTAAGGTAAAAGAACACTCTTTTTGCTAGAAGTAGAATAAGATCTTCCCCCCACTTTGTAATCAATTGCCCTGTTGAATGAATGAGGAAGGCGTGGAAGGCAGGCACCTCCAGACAGCTGCAACCCTTGGAGAGGGGATTGGAGCCAGACCAGATCAGTAGAACAGGTCAGCCACCAACTCACCGCTCGCCTCCTCAGCCCCCCACCCTCCGCTGCCGCCTCCCCTGCCTCCCTGCCACTGCCTTCCCTCTCTCCTCCTCAGTCGCCGGCTCACCTGCCCCCCCCACCACTGCCCGCCCGCCTCCTCAGCCGCCG